CAATCAACATCGGCGACAGTGACCGTCGTCCGTCCATCAGACTTGCACGGAGATTAAAAGCCAAACACTCGCTTTTCAAGTGTCGGTCGTCTCCCCTCTCGCTAACCACCGTTGCCCTTGTGCACAAAATTTCTGTCTCTTTGCCCTCGCAACGTCCGAGGGCAGAAACGAAGCTATAAATTAGCCTCACAACCCCCTCCCCTCGACGAAACCCCCACCATGAACAATCCCATTTGTGCTTGCCATCAACGACCCAGCATTACCCCCGCATACCACGGTATCGTCGGCATAAAGAAAAGCCCATAAGAAGAAATAGGAAAAAAGTTGTCATGGTTAGGAAAGGGGTGTAGCGAGTGCTTGACTCACCTGGCCTCCGAGGAACGGTTCCTCCTCAGGATCTCCCAGTGCCTCGTATCACATCGGACTGCTCGCGCGGTCGCTGACAACCAAGGCCAGTCCTCAGCCCCACACTATTGACCATATTGCCAAAAGCATATACACAAGGATGGGCAAACGGATGACGAGCAGACGAGAGCGGGAACGCACGGCACGCACGCACGCACGCACGGCACGCACGCACGCAAGCAGGTCGATATAACAGGGGAGGGGTTATCTATAGACAGTGCAGAAAGCTTCGGCAGTACGAGTCGCCGACCCCTTTACTCCGTTGCTGCTTTGTCGGCTGATTCGGTTGACGCGCGCACCCTTCAACGTCTTTCTTCCCGTCGTAGTTGTTGTCGTCGTCGCTACTGCGACGACAATTAGAATACAAGAACGACTGAGTGCGACGACAGAAGGAGAGGGACAGACAATTCAGAGGCGCGCTAGGAGCCGGTGCTCCAACCGCGAGGAGGCACCTCCACAACACTCGCCAACTTGCTTGCATCCATCCGACAACAAATATAACACCGTCAACTGGCGCGGCTCCCAACGACCGAATAACGCTGCTCGGCCGCACTGAGAACCAACGAACGACTTTCCTTGAGCGCCGAGACCTGCGCACCGCGACTGCGCAATCACCTGCCCAGACACCATTGGTTTCCCCGACCTCATGGATAGCGAGCCGCGCTTTTCAAACTTCCACGATGCGATTGCTACACGCCCTGAGACTCAGCCCATGATCCAACCCGTAATTCGATCAATCTTTTCAACCGCGAACAACAATAAATTGTCGAGCTCGATAGTAAGCCCACTAATCGTCCCTTCGCCCTAGTTGTTGCGAGGTCTGTCGCGGGGTTAATTGGTACGATTAGTACTGCTGGCTAAAAGCACCATTTTTCTATTACTCGCTTAAATGAAAGGCCAACATCCGCGGTAATGAGAATTCGTGCTGCTTGGAAAATTATAGGTGGGCTGAGATTAAGCTGTACCTGTCCAACGGTTTCTACTATGGTTTTCTTCTTCGTGCCCTACCTGAGCCAGTCGTTGTAATCACGTTGAAAATGTCCTTGACATTGCGTCATTGGCGCCACCTTTTAGGCAACCGTTGCACCATCGTCGTTGAGAAGCCGCAGAAGGTAACGTCGTTATCTTGTGTGCATTTATGGTATGTTGAGTATTATGCATTTGTTGTATAAGAAAGTGAGAGCGAGTCGTAAGGTTTCGTTTACCTTAGTTTATTTAGCTTAGTGACAGCAATAGCGGCATCCGTCGAAAGTGGTAACACGTTTTGGAGCAATCTGTAGTTAGTTAAAAATGAACGTTAGCCGTACGTCGGCATGTAAATAAAGCAAGAACATTCGATAATGCTCGAATTGCCGGTCTACCTTTCATTTAAAACGTGCATTAATTAGACGCCGAATTTTTAATTCGGTTGACTAATCCGCCATTGGATTTTTCGACTGTCGAAAAAAATTTAAGGCAGCATAAAACTTTATCGCAGTTACAAAATAAAACATTCGTTGATGTATTTCCAGAGAATACAAAAAAAAACATTCTTTCCGTTTAATCGAGCTATTTCCCCGTTACTACTCGACCGCTCGATTACAAATTATTCATAAAGAGAAATTACATTCCTTTAAAATGAAAATGAAAATGAATGCTTTGAGAATTGATTCAAATAGCTCACTACCTCAATTCTACAATTTATGATAGATTGTACAATGAATTGAACTATAAATTGTACTTTCTCTTTTAATTCGACTTTTCATAATGACTAAACAATAATGATAAAAAAAAAAAAAAAAATATTTGAAACCAAGATGTGGAAATAGTTCTGAATCTCAAGTTACCATTAATTAATAAATTGAAGTTTATTCCACGATACTAACGTTAGATTATTAGAAAATAACCTCAACGATTTATGCATTTTTTAAAATAAATATATAAAAATTGAGTGTTGTACGCTAATTTATATATTAGAATAGAAAAAAATAAGTTTCAAGAACAAAATAGTCTAGATCTAAGAAAGAATTAATATTGTCGGCGACATTTCATACGATTTAATTGAATAATTTTATTCGAGGAGAGAATTAAAAATAATATTGATATATTATTAATAGAGTTCAACCTTTTGATAAAACCTGAACATAATTTAAAAAAAAAAACACTCAATTTCGACGATCGTGTTTAAACAACAAATTATCATATAAAATTAAAATGAATTAATACAGTATTCTCGGCTCGATGTCGTCCATAAAAGCATCGATACTTATGATTTTGACATAGATTATTTTGGAGCAAATATAAAATTTTATTTATTCATTTATCACGTTTTGTGTTTGCCTTGAATTTAAAATAAAGAAGATTTTTGTTACATTTGTTTCATAAAATTAAATTTAAATTGTACTATTCTATGTAATGGTATAGACTTTTATTGAAGTTTTTTTATAATACACCAAAATTGGTTAAAGATAAGAATTTTTCTTTTTTTAAAAACCGTGTGTTCTCACGGTTTTGTCACACTTAACAAACACGTGAAAAAAAAAAAATATATGGAACCTAATAATATTATCACCCTATTTCCACGTGCAGGTCGCTTTTCATGTAAGGCACGTCGTTAAGAGTGAATCGCCTTTTATCTGCATTGCGTATGCGGCAAAAACGAATGTGGCCCTTTCATTTCCAAACATACAGCTAAATGTAAATTTTGATTATACTTCTAATTTGTATGATGTAGAGATAAATAAAAACGTGTGATTTTTTATGATCTAAATATTACGCAAAAATAGATTTTAACCAATTTAATGCCCATTTACATAAGTTATCTTTTACTTTAAACAAAACTAGATAACATACGGCTATAAGTGTATTGGCCTTGTTGCAAAGATAGAGGTTACATTTGCATGCTTTGACATCGTATATTTTATTTATTTCAACTCTATTATATTAGTTTTATTAATTGGAAAAAATAAAGATGTTTTGCACGATGTATTATTTTTATTGTATAAAATAAAATGGCTTTTATTTTATAATACACCTGACGGATTACTATACAAAAAATACTTTAATGAATTATGATTAAACTTCTTAAGTATATAAATTTGTCTTTAAAAAAAACAATCAGATACAACATTTATAAATGTAAAACATTTTACAAATTTAATATGGGTTTGTATTCTTTTACTTCATATAAGTTTATTCAAATAAGAATAAATTTGATATCAAGTTAATGTCTTTTGTATAGCCAGTTCAGAAATGCCAAGTACAAATAGAATAATTTGGATTGATCTAGAAGTCAGTGTAAACTTATATCAATTTGTTAAATTTATAATTTATAATAATATTTATAAGAGATATTGGTTTTTTAGATGACTGGTCTTAATTTAGCTGATGATAAAATTTTAGAAGTAGCAAGTATTATTACTGATGATAATTTGAATATAGTTAGTCATGAATTTGAAATAGTTATTAATCAACCAAACTCTATTTTATTAAATATGAATGAGTGGTGTAAAGAACAACACAAAAAGGTACTTAAATATTATGATTATTTTATTATACATTGTAAGAAAATATATTATGGAAGTAACGTTTTAATGTAAAATTAAGAAGTACAAATTATAAATTATTAACAGATTTAACAAATGTTTTATAAAGTAAAATTTATACCATTTTATAAAAACTTTGGATTATTTCGTATCTATAAAAACGATTTACTCAGATTTGTTGATTTATTTGTACTTGACTACAGAATTTGTAATATATATATATATATATATATATATATATATATATATATATATATATATATATATATATTTACATAATTTTCATTTTATTCCTGATTATATAAGGTTCATAATTTTAACTAGACAGGACTAATCGAAGCCTCTCAGCTTTCTATGTTTGATGAAAAGTTTGCAGAAGAAGAAATAATAAAATTTTTACAAAAATATGTTAAAGATAACACTTGTCCTTTAGCTGGCAATTGTTTATGGATGGATACGG